CGGGGGCCGGTTTCGCTCGCCGGTTCGGCCTGGCGCAGATGCTATCTCCGGGAAGCGAAGGACGCCGGCAGCGAGGCGTGCGAAACCCTGTCCCGGCAGCCGGCGGGACAGAGGTTGCCCCTGTGCCCTCACCCAGCCCAACACAGGATCCCCGTCCCCGGTCTCCATCACCCCAAGGCAGCCAACGGTGCATACGAGGAACGACGGTGACAGAGAGGGATCCTGGATGCGGAGGTGGAAGGTGTGCCGCGAGGCGGCTGCCGAAATCCAGCCAGAGCCTGGGCATCTCTGCAGGACGGAGAACGCTGCCCACCCAGACGGGGAACCATCAAACGGGTTTCGGCAGCAGCCGTTGCGGCCGGTCCGGGTCAAGATGGGAAAGAAGGTTAAATTAATAAACAACTCGACCTGTTCTTGCACAGTGAACTGATTTATGAACCATTTCTCCTTTATGGGTGTTGGGTGAAGGCCAGACATTTTTGACTATAACTCTGCAATGTGTATCGGTTGTAATCGGAGAATAACCTGGCTAATCCCTGGCAAACACAGGCGCTGCCTACCCAGGCAGGCAAAGCCTAACTTCAGGTGCTGGCCACCAGCAGCACGGCAGCGTGCAAACAGGGGTCTTTTCTCACACTCAGCACTACGTGGTGCCTCCCCATGATAAATACTCGTTAGGCAGACGCAGTTCTTCCTTTCTTCTTCTTTTCAAAGACAGCAACCGTACGGCATAAATTTCCCAAGTACGTCTGAACCATTGCCATGCTCATCCCAGGCTCTGCCACCACCGCCAGCCTGGCCCAGCCCCTCCTTTGCTTCCTAAAGGCAAATAAGACAGATGAAAGGGGACTCAGTGTTCACCTTTTCATTTGCACAAGGCTCTTCAGTGGAAGGCTGGTGGGCTGCAGACAGCACGCAGCGATTTAGTAAATTCATTTTTAATCAAGTCATCTTTAATAAAAACATCTCAGTTCTTTATGTGGGCACCAAGGCAGAAATATAAGCACTCATTTTTGTATTTCTTTTATACTTCAGTTAAAAGTTACCTTCCTTCTACACTGCATAATCATCAACCAGAGCAGCCAACCAGCCCGGCCTTTCCCCACGCCTTGGGTCTGGCAGCACTTCTAACCCCGCAGCCAAGGCACGCGCAATGCCATTCCCAGGCTGCCCAACCAGGGGCAAAACGCTTTAATAATCCCATCGGCACAGCCCCGGCAGCGTGGCCTCGGCACCGCCAGGGTCCTTGGCTGGCGATACAGCCACCGGTATGGAGCGCAGAGCTCGATGGACCTCCATGGGACATGGGCAGCCGCGGCTGGTGGCACGAACTGGAAACGGAGGCGCTCGGGGACGGGCAGAAGTGCTGGCGCGGTGGGAAAAGGAGGCTCAGGTTTGCTCCACCGCCCACAACCCTCTGTGCATCCTGGGGGCGGTGAGGTTTGAGGGTAACCTGAAGAGCAAAGATCTGTGCATTTTGATTGGGATGTTTTTCCCACACGTTGCTCTTTTTTCCCCACACCTTTCCCCATTTCCAGACTGAAGCGCTCCAGGGACAGTCACTGCAGACATTTTCTGCCACCTTTGTGGGAGCTGCTGAAGAAATGCCCAAATTGCCCTCATTCTTGCAACAGATACATTTCTGGGGGCTTCATAAACACTAAGGAATTATTTCTGTCTGCTGATGCCAGAAGCACAGTGAGGATCACTTTGAGCAGAGCAATGCTGAAGGAGATACAGAATGTGTGATCCCAGTGACAGAGACATCAGAGTCTCAGCTAGAGTCTTAATTGCCTATTTCTAATTGCAATTTTTCTCATCCCACTCCTATTGCTCTGCTGTGCCTACCCGAGCAAGATAGGCTGCTTCTGGTTTTACCTAAACACGACAACCTGCTTCTCCTAGAAGACATTTATGTGTGGATTAATCGCACGCAGTGAAAAGGGCCACCAAGGAAGAGATGCTGTCACAAGAGCTGTAGAGAGGCGGCTTGGCACCTGTGTGTGCATGCCAAGAGCGCAGACAACCAAGGAGAGCGTGGAGGAGAGGGGCATGCTGCTGCGAAGTCCAATAAACCTGTTGATTTGCAGCCCGCTCCCATATGATGCAGCAGCTACCACAGCATGCAAAATGAACATTATTTTCGCTGCTGGGCCTTGTTTTTACAACTCAGCTTTTTGACAGCAGTGCTCAGGCTGGAGCGCAGTGCTGTCCTGGGAGAGCAAGCACCCCCTGTGCATCACCAAACCTCTCAACGCTCCTTTGAAGTACGTTAACTGAGTGCCCGGCGCTGCCGGCTCTTTGGAGGGTGGCCATGGCTTTGGGACTTCTCACAAAACCATTGCATAGATGAAGTAAAATCTGCTGTCCTTCTAGCGCGCTGTAATCGTCGACTTGTGTCAAAAGGGCTGGCTTCCCTCCCAACTTCTTCTGCCTTGGAGCCAAACAACTGCTCCAGTTTTTGATGCAAATCCTGAGAATTACTTAGCAGCAGCAGCAGCTCTTTTTCAAAAGCCAATGACACCAGTGCATTTTTGCCTAAAGGAAACATTGTTCTTTCTGGACAACTTTTCCTCCATTTTCCTCTAAGGCAGCACTGGGAGATCTCGGGACTGTGTCTCTAAAATATTCATGTGACGGCTATTCATTATTCATGTAGGCTCACAATGCTCGATTCAGCGGTACTGCCAGCCTCAGCCTGACAAGCAGACCCATTAAGAAACCCCCCACAAAGCACCCCTGCAAGAACACCAAGACAATTTTGCTCTGTGCACAACTGCAGCTGCTTGAACCCCCTTCTTTACAGCCGTACTCAGAGGCATGCTGGCACTGTAGGAACAGGGGGAGCCCGCTCTGCAAGCTCCCCCATCTTTTGGTGAAGGTCTCAGTCCCCTCTAGAAAGAGCAGCACCCCGGGGAGGCTCTGAAGCAGGGCTGCCTGGCCGAGGCCGAGCCCTGAGAAGGCACCGACCCTGCCGGGGCCCTTGGGCGAGTTTTTTAAACTCTGCTTCTTCCACCAGCCCTATGAAGATAAAAATCGCTTCCCCACCTGGCAGGGTGGGGGAAGGTTAATTAGAGAGAGCTGCCTGCATCTTTGAAGGCGCAAAGCGCCGGGCAGGAAGCAGGCAGGGGATTTCTCCAGCTCCCGGTGTGCTGGCTCGTCCCCGCTGCTCACCGCTGCCTGCACCGGCTCCCCCTCCACATGGGCAGGGATGGACCCATGGTGGCAGCCCCCAGGACGGGGCGTCAAGCAGAGGATGCCGCCCCAACACCACATCCGCACCCCTTGGCTGGCAGCATGGTGGGAGGATGGGTGCCCGGCACAGTCCCACCGGCCCAGCGAGCCCCCCTGAGGGTGCCGTGACCCCTGAGGGAGGGCTCTGCACCCCTGGTCACCGGCTGCCCTTCTAATTATAGCTGCAGGTGCAGGAAGCGCTGGGGCCGCCTGTGCAGGAAACGGGGTGTGCCGCCCTCGGTGACTGAAAAACAACCGCGGTGGAGGTGTGCCGCCACCGCCACGGCCCCGCCAAGCAGCACAGCCCCAGCCCTGGGGCTGCCCCCAGGCTGCAGCACCCTGAGCTGCAGCGGCATTGCCCTTGGTGCACCCAGGGGGATCCAGGACCGTCGCTGCGTGGACCCCCCGCGGTCCTCACACTGGCCCAGCATTGCCCATGCCCCCAGCGCTGAGCCCTGGAGCCCCGCCAGGGCAGGCTGCCAGCAGGATGGGGTGCTGCTCCCCTTCGGAGAGGCAGGAGGGCAGCAGGGGCGGCATGAGGCATCCATTAAGGACCCTTCTCCCTGAGCTGGAGATGCTGTCTCCTGCCCTGCCGACTCATCTCAGGCTGCCCCAGCTCCCGGCAGCAGGCAGCCATCTGCACCCCGCCTGCCCCCATGGATGGCCCATGGGGCCCAGGTGCCACTCAGCCTTTCCATTTTGTGGAAAATCCTGACAGTTCAGCGTTTCCTTTGTCCTGGTTTGGAACAAAGAGTCGAAACTTCAACGTTTAGCATGGTGACAGAGCCTCTGAAACACTTTGTTTTGGAAAATACTGAAATGCCAGTTTGAAATGTTTCGCTTTGACTGTGTCACTTCGGCTGCTGCGGCACGACAAGCTCCGTTGCTATCTGAGAGGACAAAGCCTGAGATGTTTTCATATGCTGACAAAATCAATACATTCCCATGAATTATGTTGGTCTTGTCATATCAACTTTTCCCGGCACCTTTTTCCTGCTACTCTCCCCAACCAGAGATCCACGTCAGCTCCAGTTCCAGCTGCTGGGCACAAAAGCCATCCCCGAAGCGGGGCTGCTCCCTGCAGGGTTTTACGCTCTCCCGTCAGGCAGGCCCCGGCATCTCCCCACGCCGCGGCAGGGCAGCCAGCACGGGCAGCCTGGCATCCCCCTCCAACGGAGGCGGTGGGCAGCTGCCCGCCTGCCTGCGCCCAGCCAGCCCCACAGGCTCGTGGTGGGGTGCAACCACAGGCTCCAGCACAGACCAGAGCAGCCAGGGGAGGAGGAGGACGGAGTGGGGCAGGGAGGGGGGTCTGCCAAGGGCCAAGTGCAGCACTCGCCACGCTGCCGGCGCAGGGCAGGCTGGGCCACAGGGGAGAGATGGTATCTTACAGACTTTCCCACGCCTCGCAAAAGCTCTCCAGGCGGGCGCACGCAGGCAGGTGATGCTCGGTAGCTGCTGGGGTATTGCATAAATAGAGGGCAGGCTCCTGTGCTTGCCCCAGGCTACAGAGCTGTGCAGATAAGCCCCCAGCGTGCATGTCCTACACAGCACCGTGCTGCCGGCCTCGCAGGCGGGGAGGGAGCTTCATGCTCACTGGGAACCAGGCAGCATGCGCTGGCCCTGCAGGGCAGGCTCCCCTCTCCTTGTGCCTCAGCTTCTCCTCCTGGCAGTGAAATACAGACATCCAATGTCACAGGAATAGTCCCACGCTTAGGGCAGGTGCCCCAAGCTTAACTGGGCTGCTGCCTGCTGCCAGACTTCATCCAAACACTGTGGCACAGCTCCTCAGCCCAGCACAGAACTAGGAGGGGTCAGCATCTCATTTGGGAATTGCCATCACAGGCCACCACGATTTGCAACGTGCTCTTCTGTTGCCGAAGCATGTGGTGGTTCTCCATGCCCAGAACTGAAGCAGCCGCTGCACGGCAGGAAAGAGACGGTCCTGAAGCTAGTTGGGCCCATTGATGAAGCAAGGAAGGCTGCAATGGTCTCTGGCACACCAACTGGTGAGCAAGCATGGCGAGGAACTGAGCCGAGACAGTTTCTATCCTCGAGCAGAGCTGTAACCACAAGATACCTTCCCTGCAGCTGCACTTCCAGCCGGCCTGGAGGCAGCTGTGCTGGGGTGCTGCTGCTCCCCAGTCACCGCCTGGAGCCCCCAGCCAGTCTCTGAGAGGCTGAGAAGGAAACCTCTGCCCCCAGAAGGCAACGCCGAAAGGGAAGTGCTGCTGACTTGGGGGCTGGGGAGGTGGTGGGAGGGCAAGGGGGTCGGAGCTCCTCCTCACCTTACATGCTGCTGGGGTCTGCAGACAGGTATGTCCAAGGGCTGTCAGAGAGACATGGGGCTTGGCAGCCTGTGCAAGCCGTGCCGTGAAAATTTAAGGTCTTCATTCCTAACATGGGTTACTTTAATGGGGGTGACAGAGGCACTGGCCTAGAATGGCTCTGCAAACAGCTCTGTGCGAGTAATTATCACAAGTGTCTGTG